CTCAGTGACATCTCCCTCCCTCCCTCACCACTTCTCTTCCCTCCCCTCCTTCACCACCTACTTCCCTCCGTCCCTCCCTCAATGCCTCCCCCCGTAAATGATTGTATATACTGTATATATACATGCGTATGTAACATTAACAATTATGTAACTACCTTCAAAAGATTGTCACTTGCTTAGCTAAACAAAGTGTGGAGTTCAGTTCCTGAACCCATTATGCGCCTCTGTAACCCTTTCCACCACCACCCACTGATTGTCACTTGCTTAGCTAAACAAAGTATGGAGTTCAGTTCCTGAACCCATTATGTGCCTCTGTAACCCTTTCCACCACCACCCACTGGATGGGTATGGGGTGCATAATAAAGGAACTAAACCAACCTGCCTTAACATCTTTATATTATGCATGAAGAAGTTGTACAGATCTTCCACTTTCATGCTGCATATTGGAGTGTTAAACATGTCCTCATACTGCTTTTTTTAGGATTTCACTAATTTCTTCATCATCCTCAGTGTATGAACCTTCACTTGTACAAATAGGTCCAATACTGTCAGTGGTTTTTGCTTTTGTATATGTGAAGAAATATTTTAGTTTTTCTTTATTTTTTGAATTGCTTTCTGTTCTAGTTGCCTTTCTTCAATCTGACTAGTGTTTCAGTTTCTGCTCGATTTCTTCAATCTCCCTGTTTAAATTATTCATTCTTTGTTGGGAAAGTCTTGGCTGCTTAAGCATTTCTGTTATTTGTTTCCTTTTTTTATAGTCATCTGAGTTCTTTCTAAGTTGAACCTCTTTCCTGGCAGATGTTCGGTAAAAAAAGTTGTATTTTCAAACTGCGAATACGTGCAGAGAGCCAGAATTTGGCTCAAAAATATGGCTCAGGCCTCGAAATTGGGATGTTTGAGATATTTTGAAAACTGCAGGGGGGTTTGGGCAAAATATGACCCACCGCCGCTTTCAGTAATTGGCATGTGTTCGGTAAAAAATTTCATAATTTCAAACTGCGAATACGTGCAGAGAGCCAGAATTTGGCTCAAAAATATCGCTCAGGCCTCGAAATTGAGATGTTTGAGATATTTTGAAAACTGCAGGGGGGTTTGGGCAAAATATGACCCACCGCCGCTTTCAGTAATTGGCATGTGTTCGGTAAAAAATTTCGTAATTTCAAACTGCGAATACGTGCAGAGAGCCAGAATTTGGCTCAAAAATATCGCTCAGGCCTCGAAATTGGGATGTTTGAGATATTTTGAAAACTGCAGGGGGGTTTGGGCAAAATAGGACCCACCGCCGCTTTCAGTAATTGGCATGTGTTCGGTAAAAAATTTCGTAATTTCAAACTGCGAATACGTGCAGAGAGCCAGAATTTGGCTCAAAAATATCGCTCAGGCCTCGAAATTGGGATGTTTGAGATATTTTGAAAACTGCAGGGGGGTTTGGGCAAAATATGACCCACTGCTGCTTTCAGTAATTGGCATGTGTTCGGTAAAAAAATTAGTAATTTCAAACTGCGAATACGTGCTGAGAGGCAGAATTTGGCTCCAAAAAATGGCTCAAGCCTCGAAATTGGGATGTTTGGGATATTTTGAAAACTGCTGGGGGGTTTAGGCAAAATATGACCCACTGCCGCTTTCAATACTTGGCATATGTTCGGTAAAAAAAAGTCGTAATTTCAAACTGCGAATACGTGCAGAGAGCCAGAATTTGGCTCCAAAATATGGCTCAGGCCTCGAAATTGGGATGTTTGAGAAATTTTGAAAACTGCTGGGGGTTTTGGGCAAAATATGACCCACTGCCACTTTCAGTAATTGGCATATTATTGGTATAAAAAGTCGGAATTTCAAACTGCGAATACGTGCAGAGAGCCAGAATTTGGGTGAAAAATCTTGTTCAGGTCTCAGATTTGCGATATTTCCGATATTCATACTCCCCCACTTTCCCCTTCACTCCCCCATACTACCCCATTTTCCCCCATATTCCCCCACTTTCCCCCCATACTCTATGTATGAGTGTGGGGGAAAGTGGGGGAGTATGGGGGAAGTGAGGGGGGAGGAGGAGTTAGGGTCTAGTAGTGAGGGGTGCGAGTGAAGCGTAGGAGGAGTGCGGGCGTAGGGTGTAGAAGGGAAGAGTGAAGAGGCAGGAGGAAGGGGGAGGAGTGAGAGGGTAATTGGGAGGAATGAGGGGGTAGCAGGGAGGAATGAGAGGGCAGGAGGGAGGAATGAGAGGGCAGGAGGGAGGAATGAAGGGGTAGGAGGGAAGGCAGGAGGGAGGAATGAAGGGGTAGGAGGGAAGGCAGGAGTGAGGGAGTAGAAGGGAGTTAGGGGGTATGTAGGAGGGGTAGGTATGACCTGGCTATATTGGTCATGTCAAAGTTTTGCACGCTGAATGCACAAAGACCGTTTCTTTATTCATTGTTATCACATACCTCATGGGGGAGTGGATAGGCAAACACTCATCCAGTTAAACTTGTCTCGTAGTACTTTCATAGCTCGTTAATTTGTATTCTGGTAAGCAGAATCTCCAAATAAATGGACGTTTAAAGCGCATTCCTATTTGGTTTTAAAAGGTTGTACCGATTGAGAAACTCGGATTAAATAGTCTAACACCAGAAATGTTATTATTCAGTTTAGTCGCCTAAAGGACATACAAGGACTAGACATTACCAGGCATTCCTGTATACCTTACCTTATGCTGTATAACATTGCCACAACCCTGGGTTTTATTGATGTAAATGGCCACAGGGAGTCGTACAAAATTGCGGGTTATAATGTTATTTATCCACTGTGGTGACAAGTGGGCCGAGTGATGTCTGTTGACATCTGTATCGTGGTTCAGTTTACTCGCCAAGTCGTCCTGTCACGGGACTCGTCTATAGGAAGTATATCAAAATTTCTTGGATCATTAATAGCATAAGACTTGGGGGTAGGAGAGGGCTGCAGTGTTTGTCGTGGCCCTCAGTTGTTCCTGGTATTAGTCGACTTAGTTTTAGAAGTATTTTTGTTGGCCAGTGTTGAAGTTGTTTGAAAGTAGATGTGTTTTTCTAAAGAGAGTGGGGGAGTTGTCCATGCTTGGATACAATTATCTAAGTGATAATAGATATCTGGTGTATAAGTGTTTTGACAGTAGAATAACTACCTTTTCCTTAAAGTCAAAATGTCGCTAAATTATTTCAAAGGTTTTGTTAGTGATTGTGATGTTAGTGCAGCAACTTTTGGTTAATGATGGATTCTTGCTCAAGGTCCTTTATTTCATCGTTCTGCTTCATTTTAATGTTAATGTGGTAGTTGTGATATGGATTGTTCTGGCTCACCTCTAAGGTTTTGCAATGTTAAACGTATATTAAGAAGAATTTGCCAGTCTTTGAACCATTTTTAGAGTTCGTGTAGATCTTTGTAAGGACTCGATATAATTGTTTCATGTTCTTTATACCATTAATCTTGGCGTCATCTGCAAATTTGATGTGGTTTTTAATATTTTGATTTGTTATTGATGTATATAAAGTATAGACCCTTGTGGTATGCCTCCAGTTAAATCTGTTTCTGAGGAACCTTTAGTTTCTTTGGTTTCATTAAGCCTTCGTTTTATCCTTTCTACCATTTATTCTATGTGCCTAGTGTTTCATATGGTGCTTTAGCAAACAAAGTACTTGTGTACCAATAGCTGGTTATCTTTAAAAACGTTCACATTTGTTATAACAAACCACTTGTTGATTTTACAAGACTATGAATGAATCTCCCCTTCAGGACCTTGCAGATGTTTGGTCAAAGTAATCATAATTTTTTCTCCTTGGCATTATCTACATTTAAAATGTCACTTAAATTTTTAAAAAGTTGAGAATAGCTTTGATCCTATCTAGTGATTTTAAGTGGCAATAAGTTTGAATGGAAGTTCATTTAAGAGCTAAGATTGAATTCCAGGTATCTGAAGTTTGTATAATATTAGTTTGAAAAGCTCTTCCCATTTATGGTGCTTGTTACAGGCAGTGTATGTATACACGATCTTCAGCTTGAAACATTTGTGGTAATAGATTGTCTGGTGTGTGAATTTAGTGTTGATTCCAAATATTTGGTAAACATTTCATAGTGCAGCAAATATTAACACAGATTGGACATTTCTAGTTTTTTCTTTTCTTAGACTAGTAGAAAATTCCAGTGTTTGGTCTCATTTGATAGTATTGTCCAGCATTAGACAATATTGTTAGCAAAGTATGAAAGTTGTATAGTTTCTTGTCAAGTTTTAATACATAATCAATGTGATTACTATAATGGGCTAAGGTGACATTTAGTAAGGCACTTATTGAAAAAACTAAATTTGGTGTAATCTTTCCATTTGTTTAAATTTACATAAATATGCAACTCCATCAATAAGTGGAAGTTTAGCCCATACATGTGTTTTAGGAGTGAAATTTGGTAGTTATATTTAAAATAATTTATATTAAAATTTTCAGGTTAATTCAGTTTGGCATGCAAAGTTTTAAAAAGTTGGCAAAAGTATTTGTTTTGTATGCTTATGTATAAGCATCTTAAGTTTATAATAACTATGAAGTTTCAGTTTATCAACTACATTAGCTCTATGAAAACTCATTATAACTTATACATGCAGGTTTAATGCATTATCAGTTTTCTTTAGACGTCATTGTTAGGAAGACTGCATTAGTAATAAATTTCAAGGTTAGTTGAATTATAGCTACTTTCAGGATAAAGTACATAAAGTTTCATTAAATGATTTATTAAATATTTATATTGTATACTAAGACAATTTTATGTTTCAGGTTGAGACTTCAAAAGCCAAGAAAATGTCTTGAGTACCAAAGACATCATCCACCTTCAAAAGAACAATAATGAGTGTCCCTGTTCAATATACTAACACCTACCAATAATTTTCACTTTAGTAAGTTATTTATAAATTTCAGAAGTTCTTTAAATGTTTAGACTTTGCATCAGGAATAATCAGTAATTTCCAGCATGATAGAATCTTTGCTAATTTCAGGATAAAGTACAGTATAAAGTAGTTTCATTAGAATATTTATTGCATAGTATACAGTGTAACATCTAATGTTGACTATTGTCCATTTCAGGTTGTGGGAAGCTGCTCCTCCTAGATGCAATCCACTGAAGACTCCAAAAGATCATCAAAAGGCCAGGGAAAACTCCAGAGTACCAAGGACAACATCCACCTGTAAAAGAAAAATAAAGTATATCAAACAGGGACACTCATTTTATTAACACTAACACATACAAATTACTACCAAAACCCCTAAGTCCCAATCTTTTAAGATTGGCTCAGCAAGGCCTACCCCTTACTTCCATTTTGAGGCAGGACTTGTTGGCTGAAAGAGTGGAACACATCTTTTGGTGTAGTGCCCTCAACATGATGTACATAGGCATCTTGTGAAGCCTATGTACATCATGTTCCAGGCACTAAACCTCTGGATGTATCCACTCTTTCAGTGAACAAGCCCTGTAGTTATTAACAATGTTTGCACATTGTTAAGGGTCCCTATGCAATTCTAGTCCATCTATTGGATGGGTAGTAGAGCAGGGCTCTGAAAAAGCCAAGCCAGGGAAATCTGCAGGACTGCCTGGTCCCCTTCTATGACATGGGGTAGGATCAGTACAAACTGCATCAATCCCTGCCGGTGGTAACAGTAGGACTTTGGTACACATCTATAAATGGACTAGATAAAAAAAAGTGAATTAATTATTTGATATAGCCAAAACATGTAATTCAACATACCAGTTTATTAGATGTGCAGAGTAGAACAGCCTCAATACTTTGATACCAGTTATCTTCATTAACACCTGAAACATTTAACCAAATTACCTTATAAATTCTGTATTGGGCTAATTTTACTTTAGTTTCTTTGCAAATTAACATTATTCAATGTTCATTGAATCTTACAAGTATAGATTTTATTCTCATTAATGCTAATCAAGCAAAAAAACTTTTACATATTAAACTTAGATTGAGTACCCATGAGTACATCAAAGTGGAGAACAATACTTTTGATTTTTCTTTAGCCTTAATGCTAGACTTAACTTTTTTTTAATATTTAATGTAATTGTTTACTACCACACCCACCTGATTCTGAATGTCAAACAAGCAACACCTTCAAACTCCAAGATGACATTCTAGACGTCCCAATCCATATTCTGAAAGAAAAAGCCTATTTAAACTTCAATTATATTAAACATAAGTAGTTACCAGTTAATATATTTTTTCTGTTCTGTACCATCATTAATTTTTACTTTGTTAGGAACAGCTTATCAAGTTGAACAATTCAATGAGGGTTCAAACCTGGAGACATAAGGTCAATAGGCCTCCCAGTTGCAATTCTTTTACCTTGTCATGGCAGCCAATTATGGTACATATACAATCTTCAAACACATTTGAACCCTCACAGCCACTGATAAGCATGAAATTTAATTACTATTGTGATTTTTTTATAAATTGCACACTTAGCCAAATAATTAACAACTGAACAGTCAAGCAAACCATTTAACATTAAATAAATATTATAAATGCCTTCAACTTCTTATTTTAGTCTATTCAAGAATTAACACCCCACTTAACAAATTAAGTTACTTTTTATGCTATTCATAGCAATTCCTCTAAGGACTAAATTGATATTGTACCCACTTTAAGCCCTAGAACTAGTTTATATTTTCCCTATTTACTGGCCATCACATTTTTACCCAAATATTTAAAAACTAGGTATTATACTAATATCAGTACACTTACTTTTCCCATCTTAATTCTTTCAACCGTGCTACTTTCTGTAGCACAACTTTTGCCATTTGTTCTGTACACTGTTCCTGAAGTTTTGTTGGAAGGACCCTCTACAACCTGTCAATGAAATGTTAAATATGGTTAATAAATTTTTTGCACAGCCATTGTTTTTTTAGCTTAAATATTTGCCTTTTTAAGACTACACTAATAAATTAACTGCTTCCCTCAACCCATCTTTCATTTATAAATTATACAAAAAAGCCCTTTTAAGTAAAAATTAAAAGGCTGAAATTTTTATTTTCTAATAGCATTTATAGTTAGGATTCTCCCACATCAGTACTGCAATTTATACAGCCAAAACATTTAATTCAACATACCAGCTTAATAGATGTGCAGAGTAAAACAGCCACACTTCTTAAGCCAGTCAAAGCTTGGATACCATTGTAGTCTATAAAAACCTGAAACACTTTACCAAATTAGCTTTTAAATGCTGTATTGGACTTATTTTACAAAATAAACAAAGTTTCTTTGCAAAATCACAATGGATAATGTTCCTTTAAAAGTCTACTAAAATGTTATTATTAATGCTAATCAAGCAAATAAACTGATATGGCTACTCAAACTAAGTTTGTTGACTACATTGAACTTGAGAAAGTTATTTCAGACTTTCATTGCCATTTTGAAATTACATTATCTACATGCAACCATCATTCAGAATATATTTACCCATAATGCTAGATTTTTTAACTTTAATATAATGCAAATCTGTTTAAAATAATATTTACTACCACTCACCCAATTCCGAGTGTGAAACAACCTTCAAACTCTAGGATGATGTTCTCTACTTCCCAATCCATATTCTGAAAGAAAAAGCCCATTTAAACTTCAATTATATTAAAAAGATATGTACAGTTACCAGTCAATATTTAATTTCTGTGCCATCATTAATTTCTACTTTGTTATGAACATATCCTTAAGTTAAACATTTAGATGAACAAATCCATGAGTGGTCAAACCTACATCCAACTGCAGGAGCCATAAGTAAATAACTGTCAAGGCGCCAAACAAAGAATGCAGGAGCTACAAGGCCAGTAGGCCTGCCAGTTGCAATTTTTTTACCTTCTCATGGCAGTCAATTATGGTACATCTGCAATCTAACATTTGAACCCTCATAACAGCCCTTTGAAATTTTTTCATTTCTTGCATCACTATTGTGCGATATAAAAACTTTTAGCCAAATAATTAAGAACCAAACTACTAACTGAACACTGAAAGGTAAGCAAACCAATTACCATTAAATATTTGTTTATAAATATTCAACTACAGATTTTATTCCATTTAAGAACTTACACCATTTTACATTTTAAAATTTCTTTATGCTATTCAAAGCAATTCCTGCAAGGACTAAACTTTGATATTGTACCCCACTTATCAAGGCCTACAACTAGTTTTTATTTTCTCCATTTCCAGGCCCCTTCACCATTATTACATTTTTTACCTAAATATTTAAAAACTAGCTTTTAAACCAATTATATCAGTAAACTTACTTTTGCCCTCTAATTTTGACACCCGGGCTACTTTCTGTAGCATGTAACTTCCGGCAGTTGTTCTGTACACTGTTCCTGAAGTTATGTTGGAAGGACCCTCCACAATCTGTCAATGGAACATTAAATATGGTTAATAAAGTTTCTTTGCACAGCAATTTGTTTTTAAACTTAAATATTTGCCTTTAAGACTAATAATTTAGTTACTTTCCACCCCCCCCCCCCCCATCTCATAAATTATAGATGAAAGTCCTTTTAAGTAACAATTAAAGCTACAAAAATTTGCAGTCAAGATTCCCCCATAGAGGTACTACAATTAATTTATATACCTAAAACATGTCATTCAACATACCAGCTTCAGATGGGCAGAATAGAACAGTCACATTTCTTTAGCCAGTCAATGCTTTGATACCATTGTAATCATTACCACCTGAAACATTTAACCAAATTAGCTTGCAAATTCACAATGGATAATATACCATTGTGATTCCATTTGTTCATGGATAATGTTCCTTTAAAATCTACCAAAATGTTAATATTGCAAGATCCTCACTAGTGCTAATCAAGCACAAAAATTGAGATGGGTATCTAGAAAATCTAGTACTGTATTACAACTACAATATTTGCCAAGACATTTATTCAATTTTCATACTTTAATGCAACAGGAATCTATCTTATCACAATGTGGAGCGGTGATTATTCCTTCAATCCTAGTCACCACACCATGGCTTACAACTACATCCAAGTGTAGATAAACTTTCACCACCTTGTTACTCAAACAAGGTTACCCAACCACTTGGGGTTGGACGGTAGAGCGACGGCCTCTTTATGCAGGTCTACGTTCAATCCTCGACCGTCCAAGTGGTTAGACGACATTCCTTTCCCCCCATTCCAAATCCTTATCCTGACCCCTTCCCAGTGCTATATAGTCGTAATGGCTTTACGCTCCCCCCCCCCCCCACATATTTTATAGGCCTACAACCTATAAAATATTCCGAAAAATATCTAGGGGTTTTAGATGCAACACCCAAGGACCATACAAGCCTATGCTACAGTTTCCAATTTCATTTATTCCAATTATTTAATAAAACTATTTTTACAATTTTTCCAAGACCAAAGCTGGAATATGCAGCTCATGCTGCCAATCTCTTAGGAAAGAATCAAAGATTTCCAATATGAAAAACTTTGTAGCATTGCCATAATTAAAACTAGATAATTACAAAAAATAGTAACCAAGATTGAATTATTCAACTAAGTACATGTTATATCTGCACCTGGAACTACCAAGCCAATTCTAATTTTATCTAAATTTAAGGAAACTTTAAATAATTACCTACTTTAGTAACTACACTTTGCCAAGTGAAATGTTAGATTATAATTTTTAACATCCAAAAAGGTCTGCACGATTTCATACACTACCCTCTGAGAAAGAACAATAATGGCAATTCATCACCGAGGTGCTTAGAACAAGACTATGTATTATAGGAACTACAGCTTTCCCAAATATCATTTGCACCTACAATAAACTACACTGGATTGTACAGGTTGTTTAACATAGTAATGAAGCAAAGCCTTTGTGAACATTTACAGTATATAAAATCAACCTACAGAGGCTTAAAATTCTGAAAGAAACTTAAATCAAAAATATCCCAAAGTTCACATACCTACACTATAGAACCTTTAAGACAAAATTATATATCAATATAAAGGTATTCAACATTGAAAAAAATTGTTACCAACAACCATTTTGACCAAACCACATGCTAGACGACAACCAAGCAACATTACCGGCTCCACCTTAGCACGTCTTAGTTTGTCTGAGCAACAAACTCATTACATCATTATTCAACTTTATATACCAAAACATTTATGGATGGGAAGCAGGTGTAGGGAATGAATTAAGAGATACCATAATGAGAAGTGGAAAAAGCTGATCGATTCTAAAGCCACAGGTGGACATTTTGATGCAAAGTTAACCCTTGGACTAAACAACTACCCATGATTCAACACTAAGGTTAACAAGTTTAAAACCTTCAAACTACAAATTTTTGGCATAATCAACTAGGCAAATGCTCCAACTGTCTAAATGATCAAAGCATAACTTAGAAAGATAAGATTTTATTCAAAACTTCACATTTTCAATTCCGAATAAATATGAACCATTATTAATTGTTCATTTAATGTTATTCTCAGAATAACATATCAAGTTATAGTATAGGCTCTCAGTAAATTTTATTGTAACAAATCTTCAAAAAATTGTATATTTTTAATGTGGCAATGTGACAAATTAAAACTCCAATTTCATAACGCTAAAGAAAAAATCCATTCTGATGAGATTTTTATAACACAGCCAAGCACAATACATCAAGTTTGTGAGAATCTGTTTCTAAATTTTAAAATCCACTCAAAATGGAAACTCTGAAACTAGAGATAATGGAAGTTATCAACAATGAATAAAGGTGGTTCTAATTGGTTAATTTTATGTTTTAATAAACATTGCCATTTGTACTATAGTGAAAGTTTTAGGTCTGCCAGTATTTAAGAATAAATACCCCCCCCCCCCCAAAGAAAATACTATAGGGATAATTATAATCTTAATGATTTAGGAGATAATTAGAGTATACTTTATACAAGTGAAAAAGCCCCAATATGGACTAACTATTAACCTAGAGAGATTTAAAGCAGATAAATATAAGAAACCAAAAAATTAAAAGTCCCAAGTTTTGCAAGGTGTAACCAATGTGTGTTTGGTAATTTCATTCCATCTTCACACTAATGAAAATTGCAGTCTCCAGGATGTCAAGGTTACAACAATCAAAAGCCAAAAATCTTTAAACAAAAAATCCATAAATATATTTTGGGAACAAATTATGGAAGCCACACTAACATTGGACAATGTCTATGATATATAATAATAGATCTTAGGAACATTATTTGTGCTATGTATTACTATGATAAAGAGCACCAATTGCATAACCACTTTGTGGACATTACTATTCTTTGAGCATAGGGCAGGTGCTTTCATCTATTATTTTCATCTATATATTTCTGCATAATCTTTCAGTTTCAGTTATTAGAAACTATTCATTAAGAAAATTTCCAAAATTCAGCTAAAATCAATCTTAAAATTTTTACAAAAGCTTCACAACACTTTAGCCAATAAGTTGGAGATTTAACATTGAAATTTTTTTCCACAATTCTAAATATTTTTCACTACTACTACGATGCCTATATTTGCAGTAATATGCACAGTTTAAGGGTTAAGGAAACTTTCCATGAAGTGTGCCTCTAGACCAACCAATACTTACCTAGATTGGAATTTTGCAGATGTTGCTCCTATTCATACAGCCCACAATTGGCACAGTAGAAAACTACCATCTGTTCCAGCCAACTTGATATCTGTAAAGTCAGATTCATTCACCATTTACATGAAATTTAAAAGTAGGTTCCCCCCCCCCCCCCCACACACAAAAAAATTAAATACTGTATATAAAGGCTGTCATGCAAACTTTACTTCCCAAATTAAGTACTTTTATATCTTAATTTGGCTAAAAAATAAATGCCAAGTAAAGCTTTTCACAAGCTACCACACGAATGGCAAGGAAACAAAGCATGTTAAGGGTTAAATAACCATTACAATGGATAAGAAAAAAAAAAAAAAGTTAAAGGGTCTTTCAAATTATTAAACGTGGCAGGAAATAACCCAATATTCTATTTTTGTCCCAACTGTCAAGGATATTAACATTCATGTTTGAGTAAAGTGTAGGCTAGAGAGGATTACAAACAAAGGTACATGAACAAACAGTTTGACAACTGGCAAACTAATTGCCAAACTCAAAATCTTAACATGTGCAGCATAATCCATAAAGGCAAAAATATTACCTTTCAATAGATGAAGGACCAAGTCACAGTCCACCAATCAAAATCGCACAAGTGGGAGCTACAGTTTAAGAGAAAAAAATAAATAAAAACTTGAGACTTTAGGAAAAAGTTAATTTTACAACCCAATTAATCTCATTCACCCAACTAATACCAAAGTACTTGCTACACTGATTTTATCCGCTTTAGAGGGTATTTAATACCAGCCAACAATTCATCATTAGTAAAAATTATACATTGCAAGCCAGACACTAATCAACCAATTTCTTAAAACTGAAAACCCATTATTTGGCAAAACATTGTCAAGACAACCAAGTTCAATTCAACATTGAATCTATGGTTTAAAGAGGACCACCACAATGCATAAGAAAACTAGATGCTTTTTCACTATTATAATCCAACAGAACAGTCTACCCACTAAAGAAAAATGCCAGACTATGCTGCTGTTTCAGATAAAGCTTTACAAAAAAGGAATGGAAGAGGGGGGACAAACTGCCAGGTAAAGGAGGGGGGGGGGGAAGGGAGGGCTTAAGATTGTCTACCTTTTCCATGTTAATGTAGACTTCCCCCATAGGATCTGGGCGTCATCCACTACGACGTTTGCCAGAGTTGGTGCCAGCCGCTGGTTAGAAACGGTGCCATACCATGCCATATGCTACTTCAGGAAACTACTTCCTCACTTCGCCACAGGGAACATTGGCTCGGGAGCTTATCATGGTGGGAGGCAGTTGAAGACTATCCAGTCGACACCCTGGGTTGGAGACGTGTAGCAGGTGAAGAATTTACCACCTGCAAATACAATTTAAAGAACAAGAACACGTAGTGAATTTTAGGAATTTAGAGTAAATTAATGCAGGACAAAGGAAGACAAACTGACCCGTTTTTAAAGATCAGTTTTCAACTGTGCAGCAGAATGCAGTTTTTAAGTGATAAATTACAGGTACTGCACTTCAGTATGGTAATTGCAAAGTATATTACATGACAATATACTCCGTAGGAAAAACAAGTACAGTATGGAGATTATGTAAAGACTGGATTTTTAAAGCACAACCAAAGTTATAATTTTATGATGGCATGCCATAATTTATTTTTACGTTCCTCAAATCCAGGGATACCCTCATTATGCTTGTTAATATTAAAGCACTGTCCCACTTATATTTTTCCCTAAAGAGCCAAAAGAGGGAATACAAGCTATTCCTGTTCCCTCCCGCCCTCTTTTTCAAGGCAAACTAGACTAAAATTACAGGCTGTATGCCTGCAAGTCAAAAATACAACACACATGATAGCACAAGCAACCCCATAGCTAAATGGGTAGAGTACACATCCAAACAAGGAGCCAGCCTACAAAAAGCAAACAGTTAACAAGTGGCCTATGCAACACTTTATGAAGACAGCCACCCAAGAGTTGGCATTGGCGTGAATAAAATGCATGCCAGCCCTGCCCAATTTTAAGTACCCATAAGCAATGGTGCCAGCCAACATTGGCAGAAGCCATGCACAATACTAACACTTAACTGCTAAGTGTCTTTTTACCCTTGGCTCCACACCCATATTCTACAACAATTTTACAGGCAAAACATTTTATAAAACTTTAATTATTGGGTCCTAACTTAATACAAGACCATCTTGTCTGCAGATTACACTTTTATAGTCATTGAGAGAGCCAGTGTCATCAAATTTTGGAGGACAAGAGGAACAGGAAATTAAAACATTTGAAGCAAGAGCTGCTGTAAACTAGATCAAGATTAAAGCTTTGGCGAGGCATACCTATTTAACTTTCCAGTTAACTGTAGCGAGTAATCTTTATACTCGCTCCATTATCTCTATTGCACAACTAATTAACACTAACTCTACAAGCTATAATCCTATTCCCAGTGACAGGTAACTTCTCGCATCCTGCTATCCTAGTAGAGAAAGGCGAGGGTGTAGTCACCAAATATAAGGAAGCAATACGAGAATAAACAGCACAATTTCCAGGCAAGAATGTAGCACTGCGTAGGCAGTTCTAATAGTCGCCAAGACGCTACAGCTTTGACACAGAACAGACAGACTGACTGCATCGAGCTATAACGCTCCCACAGAGCTCCACGACTCGTGGCCACACTTTGCTCCAAGCTCCGTCTCTGACTGCTGTATCCAGGACTAAAATGAAACTAAACACTAATCTACCCAACAACGTAACAATTTTACATCACAACTAACTTTCAAAACTGGTTTTCGGTAATTGTCATGTACACTAACTAGTTAATAGACATACTGGCTTGTGATTAAAACTTCAGGCCTAAGCAGGTTAGAACACAAGAATGAAAGTAACTACAGAATGGTTGTTGGACCATGAGGTACCTATATCCACGCTGTCATTCATATACTGTACACTTAACCTAAGTTTGAAACGGTCAGGGGATCATATACTACATTTTTTTGCAGTAATTGGTTACACAAATCAACCCTATTACCAAAGTATTTACCCATGGCTTTCCTATACCTAAATTTTCCCAATTCATACGCATTGTTTTAGGTTATGTCTTTTGTATACTTCATACCTCTAATACCGTTTGTCAAGTTAATTGGTCAACTTAAACAAGTCTAAGCAATTCTTTGCCTTTTTAGAGGCATGCATTTCAGCTTTTTCAACTTTTCTTCATGCGATAGATTCTAATTTGCGGGATTAGCTTTTGTCATTCTACGTTTGATACGTTTCAGCAATTTTACCGCCATTCAAGAGCATGGCAACCACGCATAATTTAAAGGGGGTTTTAAGAACTGAAGAACTAGGTATTTTATTACCAGTGCTTAGACAAATTATTCCTTTTCCCTAATTATGAACATGTATTTTTACCGAGCCCTTTTGCAATCTCAACACTAACTTTTCTTCCCACAGAAACTTCACCGCTTTGAGAAGCAGTGTCCATGTTTTTCAAGGTGACAAATTAAATTTGCACCTAGAACTTTCTCACAATAGACTTGGCCAATAGGCCGTAAGTTTTACAAGCTATCCGTCTTTGGGTAACTAGTTTCACATTCAAAATTCATTGTCCTTTCAAACTGTTACCACATTAGCAACTTGCCATGACTGGCACTTCCTGACTAGTGATTTAATAAGCTTAGTATACGGCGGTTCTCAAACACGCCCTTTGCAATCTTTAAGCACCCTGGTAAACCGTGTTAAAGTTTTATCATTTATTTGAATTAAAGACCAATCCCCCCCCGGTAACTGCTAAACTATTCTACCCGTCTGCTTTCCCCCCCACCAACAGACTTGTTCGGTGAAAGGCCTAATGTCAAGTTAATTAGTAATTATAGAATTAGAATTACTTTATCCCTTATCAGTTATCCGACCTTAGTTTTAAATGGACCCCATCCTTGCCCCTTTTTAGATTAACTATTTAGGATTTGTTTTTTTTTGGTTTGTCAATAACCGACTAATATTCCCGCTGCACGTTAAGCGGTAATCAAGGAGCTAGTCTTAGATTTTTTTTAAACACTCCCAAAAGACCAGACAAAGCGTTTTCAGTGTGGGTGTTCAACACTAGTTTTTTTCCCACACTTATAAATTTATGAAACAAGTTATCCGTCTAAGCCGTACTTAGAAAACTTTAAAAAATTGACAAGACGCTGGCTTCCTATTCCCGTAAAGGCCACTAGGGGTACCGGCCCTCTGATCAATTCGCTTTGAAACCGTATCTAACTTAGGGAAATAATTTTTTGTTGCCTATACAATTCTTCCCCCCTCCCTTTATATTACTATCTATACCCCATCAAATAAATTTAAAGTAAAAACCCAACCAAACATCCTAAAATTATTTGAAACAAATGACTATTGGAAAGACTCAACTTACCCGCTGGTCAACCACACTGGTCTACACATCCTCTTCCAACACTGGTTAAACAGTTACTGCTGGCCTCCGCCCGTATCTTACTACAAATCACTTACGTTGTCTAGAAACTTATATAGAATAGCAACTGACCATAACACCCATATTTAGCTCATCGAATAACGTGGGTAAACTAGTAGTACTGCTGACAAAACATAGATGGCGCACAGCCAAATGGACTCGCCTAGTTGTGCTTATGGGAATGAGCTTCGACTATTTGGCCCCGCCCTTCACCTGGTATACACAGGCTCCTGAACCTATGAGGACCAGTAACACTTTAGTGTTAGTGGTTATATAAGAACACAAGAATTAAGGTAACTGCAGAAGGCCTATTGGCCCATACGAAGCAGCTCCTATTTACCGTGATGAGTTTTTCCAGCTGCATTTTAATATTTAACAGTTTTGGCATTTACAGCTTCGGCACGTTTCTTATCACCTAATACATAAGAACATAAGAATAAAGGTAACTGCAGAAGGTCTATTTGCCCATACGAGGCAGCTCCTATTTATAACCACCCAATCCCACTCATATACATGTCAAATTCAAATTTTTATTCAGGAAGGTAAGGTAATTATCAAAAGAAGGCACCAAACCGGGAAGGCTATGTAGCACCATCAAAGTGCGAAATAACCAGAGGGCGCTAAATATCACCAAGAATGCCAATACGAGAACAAAAACGCATAAGGTTCATTTTAAAGAATGAAGAACAATTTCTATTTATATTCTAAGCTGTATCACTTATGAACCCATCCCTGCCCTTGTGTGGCAGTGCACAATAGAAAGTTGTTTTCACATATCCATACATTAAAACATTGATTGTAACCATGATATATATGTGCTTCAGCCTACAGTTTAGACCTATTGCCTTATGTATGACCCTCTGTCCTGCGTGACAGTGAATACTAGCATTAACCTCAATTTAATAAGACTATCAAAATCCTCAGATTAGGCAAAATTGTAATTAATTTTGTCAATAAAGATGTTAATAATAATAAAGGCGAACGATATCAAAAGTATCCGATTCACCAAGAATTCTATCGAGGGACAAGTGACTGCGAGGGACAGTCGGAAAGCAAGACACGCGCTCGTTCTGGAAGTCTGGACATTCAACAAGGATATGCACAACTGTAAGAGGGACAATGCAATTTGAGCAATAAGGAGCAGGGCGGCGCTCCATTAAGTGACCGTGGGTTAAGCGAGTATGGCCAATCCGCAGCCGTGCCAAAGCAGTTTCCCACCGCCGGTTACGGTGGTAGGAGGAAGGCCACGGGGACACACTACGTCTGAGAGTACGCAGCTTGTTACTAACCACAGAGGACCAACAACCCTGCCAACGGGCAAGAATGGAGGAATGAATAACAGGATAAAAGTCGGAATAAGGAATACCTTTACGGGAGATGGGACAAGAACGGTTAGCTTCCTTAGCGGCAGCATCCGCACGCTCATTGAAAGAAACACCAATATGGCTGGAGACCCTGTAAAACTCTACTGATTTAAATTTACTAGAAATAAGAAACAGCCAATGTTGAATGAATCTCGATGACCACCGGATGGACTGGATTAAAGGACCCTAAAGCCATGAGGGCACTACGAGAGTCAACTACAACCACAAAAGAGGAATGACATTGAGAAAGCAAGAGACGGAGAGCATAGAGAACAGCATAAAGTTCTGCCGTAAAGACGCTAGCCTCCGAAGGGAGGCGACACATATAAGTACGGTCAGGAAAAACAACAGAGTAGCCCCGGGTGTTTGTCAGCACATCACCCCAAAGGGCATGACGACAATTGAAATCACCCAGCAGGAGCACAGGCTCCGGCAAGGAGTCTAGGAGGTGTTAAAGATCGGGAAGAGAAAGTGGGACAGTGAGGGGGGGGGGGATAAATGGAACAAACCGTGTACCATCTACGCACAAAGACACGGGCGGCAGAACAGTGGAGAGACGAGGAAAAAAGTAAGGGGACAAAGAGAACATCGGAGCGAATCAAGAGAGCAGAAGAATTATGGGCTCCAGCATCAGCTGAAAGGGGGGGGGGAGAGAAAAGAATAGCCACGGAAGCGACCAGGACGAGCACCAAGCATCGGCTCCTGGAGACAGCCACAAAGGGACGAAAACTGTGAAATGAGAAGTTGGAGGTCAAGAAAATTGGTGTAATATCCACGGATGTTCCATTGAAGAATAGACATTGGCCAAAAGAGAAAGGAGAGCAACAGAGAGCAAAAAAGAAACAAAGGTGAAAAAGGAACACAGCACGTTAAAAAAAAACACAGGGTCAGCGAAGTCAGGGTTCTGAGCATGGGTAAATTGAGTAAAGAAGGAGGGAAAGAAGCGGGAGGACAGACCAGAGGTGGACAGGTGGGGTCTGGAGGAGGAGGGGCAGAAAGAAGAGGAGCGCACCTCAGCGAGGGCAGGAACCGAGATGGAACCGGCGGCTAAAGAAACCCCCACGGTAGGAACAGGGGGCCCCAGGAATAGCAATATGGAATAGCAAAACAGGAATATGTTTAAGACAGACTTTATATGATTCCATAGTCGCTACTACCGATTGAATGATTTAGTGAGGCCTTCGGACTGGCGCTCTTGGATGTTCTACCCCTCGCGTCTCGGCGCAAGGGGTTCTCGCCTCGAGCTGACGGAAAGATGTCCAAACTTGATCATTTAGAGGAAGTAAAAGTCGTAACAAGGTTTCCGTAGGATCTGCGGAAGGATCATTACAGTTTGTGACGCGAGAGCTGCAACCATCGGCTCGTCGTCGTCGTTCGAGTATTCTTCAATGCGTATTTCTATTTGCTATTTAATTTCTATTCCTTCTGTAGGATTTGTATTACTGTACTTAGAACACTTTCCCATGGATTGTTTGTAAGTTCCCTTTATATTTTCTTCCAGTCTATCCTTTTATATTATAATTGAGTTTACTGAATAACCCCTCTCACTTGATTATTGTTTTAGGTTTATTCTAAGTATTGGTGGTAGTTTGCACTTCAATGAGATTGTGATGTCTGAAATCGTAATGTCCCTGATTATGTCTTCATTGTTTAAAGACCAGATCTAGAATATTTTCGTTTCTAGTTGGCTCTGATATCTGCTGGTTGAGTGAAAATTAGTCACAGACTCTTAAACAGTTATCTAATGTGTGGTTGGTTATGTCCAGATATTTTTCCTGGTATAACATTATTGCTTAATCTAAGATGGAGACTAGCAAACATGTTGAAGTCACCTAGGAAGATTTTTTCACCTTTAAGATGGCTGTTTCTTATCCTTAGCAAATTTAAGAGTTGAATTTTGCTAGGTTTCCAGCCTTATTGGTGTTAAATGAGCATGTGAACACTGCCAAGACCATTAGCACCTGTCCTATTTCCCATAAAGGGATTACGTATTCAGATTTCTACCCAGTCATTTCCACAATCTGTGACTGTAGGTAGAATCATTGGTCTAGTGTTAAAGGTAACCTAGTTGTGCCCTTCCTCCAACTACCGTAACAGATGGCTCTGGGTGGGTACTGGCCGCACATGCTTAACTCGAGGGCACAATGAAACACTGCCCTGTAACTTATTGGAACTGAATTATGCCAATTACAGTTGTACACCTTGAAATGAAATTTAGCGTAAGGTCATGTTATAAGACTAGAAAGTGATCAAAAGCATTAGCAACAATATTTTACAACACCATATAATAGTCTTATCTTGATTGTGTTTATTAACTCTTTTTTCATTATTTACAGATGATGATTCCCAACAACGTGGTTGAAGATTAGACACCCAACCCACAAGTCTGAAAATGTGGAAATAACGACGGTTCGGCATGTCTTGGAGCACTATCAAGACATGTAATGGAACAAGTGTGGTACACAGACAATTTGTAAGGTAAGAGAACTGATTGGTTAGAAGTAAGGGGAAGGCCAAATGGAAGAGTGCTTAAAGGGGCTAAAGCTAAGTCTGATCACATTTAAGAAGGTACTGTGAAAGGAAAGTCAAGAGCAGCAAAGCCGAGACTTAAGAATCATGTAGGGTATGCTAGGTATAGTATCACAGACATGACGGCACCTGAAGGGTAGAGGCAGGAACGATTATTTACGAGTCCCTAACATTACCGGAGAGCATTACTTGTGTCTGCAGGTTTAACACCTTTCATCTTGTCATTCAGTTTCACCAAAGTATTGGAGAAGACAAGACAAGCAGGAAATACGAGTAAATACCAGATGACTGCAAAGTGTGCTAGTTTGTCAAAAGGGGAGTTTTAAATGAAGAGGACAAAGGGTATTAGTCATTTTAAATTTTTTAGTTCATGAAGGAAAGGCACAGCACAGGCTCTAGTGTTGTGAAAAGATGTAGAGTTTAATTTATTATAAGCTTGAGAATGGGCACAGAAGATAAAATAAGAGGTAACGAAAGCGAGACTTGTTTGTGATTTTTTTTTTTTATTTTCAAGTCTCACACACCTTAGTTATCCCTCATTTTATTTTCTGTGCCCATTCACAAGTTTAAAATAAATTTAACTCTACACCTGTTCACAACACTAGAACCTGTGCTGTGCCTTTCCTTCATGAACTAAAAAATTTAAAATGACTAATACCCTTTGTCCTCTTGATTTAAAACTCCCCTTTTGACAAACTAGCACACTTTGCAGTCATCTGGTATTTACTCGTATTTCCTGCTTGTCTTGTCTTCTCCAATACTTTGGTGAAACTGAATGACAAGATGAAAGGTGTTAAACCTGCAGACACAAGTAATGCTCTCCGGTAATGTTAGGGACTCGTAAATAATCGTTCCTGCCTCTACCCTTCAGGTGCCGTCATGTCTGTGATACTATACCTAGCATACCCTACATGATTCTTAAGTCTCGGCTTTGCTGCTCTTGACTTTCCTTTCACAGTACCTTCTTAAATGTGATCAGACTTAGCTTTAGCCCCCTTAAGCACTCTTCCATTTGGCCTTCCCCTTACTTCTAACCAATCATCTCTCTTACCTTACAAATTGTCTGTCTCTACCACATGGAACAGGCTCAAAGTAAATAAAGGATCTCAATGAATAGATATCTTATTTTAATACCTTTAATATAGAAATTAGGTATACATAATATTTAGGTGACATCCCTTTTGGTGGGGTTTACCTCACATTCATGCATGTTATGTAAAGGGTTTGAACTGTACCAAGTCTTTTGCATTCCTGAGTACATTATCAAGGTCGAAGTGTATGTCTAGAATGAAACTTAAATTTCAGCGAGTAGTACGGTTGCTACCCTGGATCCAGTCCTCTTGACCCGTTGCCTCCATTCCCGAGGGTACCCCTTATATAGGGAATGACAATCAGTTGACCTGGGATTCCGAGAACTGGAGTTCAAACTCCAGTTCTCGGAATCCCAGGTCAACTAATCGGCATTCCCTATACAGTATAAGGGGTACCCTCAGGAATGGAGGCAACGGGTCAAGAGGACTGGATCCAGGGTAGCAACCGTACTACTCACTGAAATTTAAGTTTCATTCTAGACATACACTTCGACCTTGATAATGTACTCAGGAATGCAAAAGACTTGGTACAGTTCAAACCCTTTACATAACATACACAAATACATGGTTTTTTATCCTAAAAGTTATTATGTCTGTGGTTAAGACATTGCCAATAGTTATTACAATGAGTTAAAATTTGAGATGCTTTAACATTGGTTAATTAACTCCATTAGAACTAGATTCAAATGCCTCTAGTTAACAAGCTGGTATATGAATTGAAATGTCGGCAATGGGGTAACCATCTACAAGTTGACTTGGACATTTACATGGGTCTTCCACGTCCCCTACCCTGCATGGGTGGACCTTCTGCACTTGACCGAGGTGATCTGATAGTTTCATCAACGGAGAGGATAAGACACGCAGCCTCAGAGGCTGCTGTCAGGGCATTGATCTTCACAAGTGCTGGTTCCCAAACACAAGCTATCAAGTTGTCAGCAATATCTTCATTCATGACATCAACACCAAACCATTTACCTCCTGTGAATAAAAATAAAAAGATGTAGCAAAATCTGCCTTTTTATTTTCACCATATTAGCAATACCCCCATAAATAAAAGATCAGCTTTTAAATGTTACATGATTCACTATAATAAAACCTGCCACTAAAATGTAACTTTCACAATAACTCACTATACCCTAATAAGATCTTTTTACTCAAACATTTCAGGTCACCCTTTTAACTGCATTCTAATCCTTTTAATTACTGCAACTAGTAGACATGATTCCAGAATTAATATAGAACTAAAATAGGAAATAAAAATACTATCTGATAATCCTTGGCCACAAGAGATCACATCACTGTGTACACATTAACTAAACTATTTATATCACATTCACAGCAAGACAATTTACATATTACTGTATAATCCAACAGATTTCTCCACAAATTGGAAATTGGCATCTGGAAAGATATACTGTAAATTGGTACCCTGCTTTGAGTAATTTACTAGAATGAGAGTAGAGAACCAAAAGTTACCTACTAATATACAAGCTTTTATAAGTATGTGGCCAACAAACTTTACTTTACTTAGCATATACAATTACATGAACTTCATGGCAGTGCCAAAATAGTTTTATTTCTTGAAGTGTTATTGTATTGGATAACTGATCCTCCGTTTAGCATACTGAAATACCACCACCTTATCACATAAAATCAATCTGATCATATCATCCTTAACAAAACCTGAAGACTAAAATGGGACCATTCCTTACTTGCTTGCAGCAGATATGCATAATAGTTCAAATCCTATAGATAAATAGGGCTAAAAAATTAAATACATAACCCAGCCTCACCTTCAGCATGACGGGCCCTCAGCTTATTAAGTACAGTAGTTGAATCAAAGCCCGCATTATCACACAGCTGTCTAGGAATTACTTCCAATGCTTTGGCATAAGCAGCCAAGAAAAGCTGCTCTTTGCTGGCAATTGAGCGCGAGTATTCTCTCAGATGTTTGCTAATTTCCAACTCGACAGCACCACCACCTGAAACAATTACAATAACATTGCATAACTTGCATTGCTAATTTTGTCTTTTGAGCACAGCTTTTAATACTGAACTACATATAGGTTAAAGATCAACCTCAGTTAAATAGCTATACAGTATACCAAAGGCAATTGATATGAAAATCAATAAATTTATCCAAAAATATTTTTGAATACTGTACTTAAACAAATACAGCCTACATGTATATCAGTACCAGTCCTTTCCAAATCATTTTTCTTTACAAAGTTTTCAGACTCTTATTGCAGCTTAAATAATCCTTAATTTTTAATGAGCTTTAGTCTGCATTAGTTAAATAATTGAAATGAACTAATTTCCATTAGTTCTCCCACTATAATAAAATACAGAGCAGCCATAACCATTCTGTACAAAACCCCGTTTCCCTTTGCATCCACAACACTTATATTTTACTCTTGTCAATCAATACACAAGAAAAATTTCATTACATCAATTTCTTCAGCTTCCAAAATTCTTATATTCATCGTGGTTTCCATTCACACCAACTAGGAATACTTTTGAGGAGTACGAGTGCCATAGACAACTAGTGAGCACTGTATGATCACAACTATTCAACAGCCTACCAACAAAAAAATATTGCTGGAACAAAAGTGGATGTGATCAAGAAACAATTAGGCAAGTTTCCTGCAAGAAGTGCCAATCCAACCAGATTGTAGTAAATATGTGGGCCTGCAGGCCACACTACACAACAGCCTGTTGGACCAAGTTATCACTCCTCAGACTGGGCTTGGGAAGAACTCTCAAACCCACTCCAAGTATCAAATGTTTGTCCTGCCATACCCATATCTGGTATGGCATTACTTCAACAAAGCCTTACATATCTCATATACAATAAAACTTGTAAAGTGTTACTGTCTTTATATAAAAATACAACTTACACAAACTGAATTTAATGAATGAGCAAATTAATTTTATGTAGGTTCACAGAATTTTCACATTTTACACTTCACTGCCCTGCTAACAAAACATGCTTTTGCAAAAAAAAAAAAAAAAAAAAAATGGTAAAATATATATCATATATATAATCACACACATACATACATACACACTGTGTATACATACCTGCCACAACAGCATCATGCTTCAGCGCCCTGCGAACAATCATGATTGCATCATGCAATGATCGTTCCGTTTCTTCAAGGAACTGCTCTGCTCCACCACGTAAAACAATTGTACAAGTTTTTGTTTGTGGGCAGCCAGTGAAGAAGTTAAATCTGATAGAATAAATTCAATAATTATTTATCATATATTGTTACCAAATAGTGTTGCATGTCAAGAAAACATATTACTATTGGAATTAAGTCAGAATGAATAATTCTAATCATTCTTGTCCACCAACATTCACTATTCAGTTATTTAAAGGTGCTACAGCATAATGCACCCCCCAAAATAAATTGCACATGCAAATAAGTGACTGGAGCTGTGTAAGGGCTAAGAAATGTTTAAGATTGGTTCAACAGGGAATTTAGTACTAACAATGATGTAGACTTACCAAGTTTACAGTACAACTGACACTTCCTGTAAGTCTGATGTATTCCCTCAACTCTACTTCAATAAAATCTACTTTAGATGAAAATAAATAAAGAGAGAAACAAGCATCATTTAGGAACTGTTCAGGTTTTGAAGACTATTGATGACAAACAGTACAGTAATGAGTGACTCAACGTAAGCCCTATAAATATTACACACATTGCAACTGACACTTATCCAAAAATTTTCATCAATATATCACATTGTGATTTCATTGTGTTATGGCAATCTATATTTTGCTCCTTAAATAAAAAGTATTAGAAAATACTAAATGAAACCTATGTATTAATATGCAAGCTACTTTAAGAAACTTCTATGGTAATTTTTCCAGGAAAAGTAGCAAGATTAACTACCAAGGTAGGATGTATTAATAGATAATATTGTGCATGCCATATGTTCCCGGATACCCAACTGTGGTTTTCTCCCATACCTTTTGTAATCAGCAGACAGCTTTGCAGGAGAATCAATACATCTGAGTCAAGTGTAAGATACCTTTCACCCCGTGAACAAGAAGAGTTTATCGTGAATTTAGTTATTCATTTGGTCCTGAATGTCCCTCAGATTATTCATCTTCCACCAACAGTTAACATGATTCCTCCTCGTTTTAATATAACAATGTAAATAAACTTAAATGTTTGTTGCTACCTCAAGATTTCAAACAAGTCTTCCTTTTAGTATAATTACATTGCTTTACTGTTAACCCATAACTACTAGCAAAAAAATCTTTGATGCTGAACAAACTGCAAATGGAATGCAGGTCAATTTTGACAGCAAGATCCAGAAATCCACAAAAGCTTATGTTTGTAATGATGCATAAAATGTTGAGTTACATATTAATGCACGTATATAGCATAATAATGGCAAAAACACTAGTTTATTGCTTTCAAAATGTGTGACTTAAGATATGCACCCAATATTTTTTAGTATAGTTATGTTCCACACATTTGTTTACATAAATTTCTTAAAATTACACACTACGGAATAATTTTACGGCAAAACAGAAAACAACTCGAGACATTGAAATAATTATATAAAGCTGTATTCATGGCAACTCGTGTGGCCATGGAGCTGCTGGAGCTATAATCACAGTCAAGGTATGTCATTTTTTTTCTCTTTGACCATGGAACAATTTAACAATATTAGAAAGAAAAAAATTTGGAATAATTTAATTTATGTACACGGGGAACTTGTCTTATTAAACTAATGTGAGGTACAGTGGTTAATGGGAGATGTGAATGGCTCTAGTAATATTACATATTTATTTAACCTTTTCAGTCTTAATTATAAAAGTGAAAATAACATGTTTTTTTTACCTTTCAGCACCAATTTGCTTCTCTTCAAAGAGCTTACAAGTGCCAAGAACAGAATTATTAAGATCATGCGCAGTTGACATGATTGCTCCTCCGCAGGCTTTGATGGTTCGCTTCATGTCTTCATCTACAACACGGCCAGCACAAAACATGTCTCTGCAATCAAAAATTTAATTTAACTATCAGAAAATGTAATCTTGTTAATGCAAAGCATAATATGACCAAAAATACCTATAGACAACCTTGGATTTGAAAACAAAAAGTGTGATTTTAATTTTTTAATTAGATAAAAAAAAAATTGTAGATAAAACTTTAAATCTTTAGTTTTGAATTATACTAGATTTAAATAAATTTTAAAACGGTAATATAATTACCTGTCGGCGAAATATTGCGTAGCTACGTCACCTATTGGGAGTTTAGACAGCACTACCTTGGCCCCAGACTTGTGGATAAGGTCCAGCTTTTGATACAGAATATTCCACTCTGTATCAACAATTTTTTGGTACTCCTACAAGATAACAACTTATTAGGACACTGCAAATAAATATAATGAATAATGTGCATTGATTTAAATTGCATAATGAAAAACAAATTTACATCAACAAATAAAAACCCAAAATTACTGCAGAATTTTATTTATACCAAGATTGAGCATCCAAGGAAAAAAGAACAGTCTCCCACACAAATATTATGAACAATAGATTTGCAATTCTTTTCAATGATGTCAATGTTATATTTTTCACCCACTGAGGACTGATAAAACATTGTGCCTTTGTACTATTGCTCAAATGACATGCAAGGGCTGCACAAACCAGTCATTATTACCAACCATCTAATAAATATTCTTGTCAGTCATGTTGAGCATTGTCGAGTCTAATAAGTACCTGACCGAGTGTCTACATGGACGTGTCCTTGTCTATGGGACTTCCAGAGCCAATTCGGGCTTCTTATTCCCAATCGTGCATACGTACTCACGAGAGGAAATACTAAATCTATCCATCACTGCAAACTAGGCCTAACAGGGCCAATATCAAAACTTAAAATATTGAACAATATGGAGGATACTGATCCCGACCACTTGTGTACAGTCAGAAGTACCTCATACAAGGAGGGCACTACCGAGATAGTGCCTCCCCCCCCCCCCACAGGTAAATAATGCTTTTTGATGTATCCAATCATCATATCACAAACTACACAGCATAATTTTGAACCAGTACCACCACACACACACCTACGGTTTTCCCTGTACCCAATTTTGAGTTTTTCTATTCCATTAAATCACTTAAGGCAGCACACCCCAACACTTACAACCAGATTTAATCCCTCTTTACAGTGCTATCACCTATTCTTAAAAATTCCCAAGCTACACCAACATTTTATCAGTGTATTCCACTTTCATTGAACTGAAAGGTATCAGCCTAAAAATGTTAAAAGGCTAAAAGATATTTCTATCCATACATAAAATTCAACATATAATTTTATCTTGCTTCTAATAACATCTTTCATTACCCTAGATACTTTTCTTCGCTTTCATTAATTCCTTATCAATCATACTATATCCTATACTGCCTTTTCAGAAGTTCTAAAATTTACTCATGAAATGCCAACATTAATGCAAATTTTCAACAAAAATATTTACCAAATATTGGATATATACAGAAAAGATAATAAATCATACCTCAACATTATTCACTCTGATTTCTGCATTGTCCCTTTCAGCCTTGAGTTCCAGTTCAATGTTCAAGAGAGCAATTTTTGGGTTCTCATAATGTTTACGCTGCATCTCAAAACCTGCGTACGAAAATGTCTTCTTAAAAGCCACACCATCAACAAGGAAAGACTCCTGCAAGAAAACATGAAGCATTTTATTAATTTTTTAGTAACAAAAGAATTAAGTCAACACAAAACAAGACCTGGGTGCCACAATTTAACCCTTAGACAGCAGCTATAGAGAAAACATACCCGCCTATGTACAAGAATTAAATTCCAACAAATAATTTTTCATTATAGAATTATTTTTTTTCTATGCAGATTGCAAGAAAAACGCAAGTGAATATTTATCATTTCACTGGGCTGAGGTGCTCTGCAAGGCTGCGTCTCGCACTTATCAACGCCTGGTGCTCCACTTTGCTGACGCTTCCTGTTTTATCCTCCAATGTTTCAGCGATTGGTTTATCACTCATTTTTCTTTATTTACATCCACAGAGCTTTTAAATCCATATTTGCATCATACATATAAAACCTAGACAATAACTGTTTAAATCATCATATGATGACTGCATTCCCCTGGTAACATTCACGATAACCACATTTGTACCATGAAATGGTCATAGGATTTTTTCCCATGGGTCAAGTAAACTCCATTTTATCCACATAGACCTATTATATCCATATTTGCATCATACATGTAAAACCTAAACAATAATTTTTGTAAATCTTCATATGATGATAACCGCATTACCATGTGAATCAACAATTGATGATAACCGCTGTCTAAGGGTTAAATAACACACATTAACATGACAAAATTAACATCCCCATATATATGTAAATTTTAAATGAATGACTTAACATTCTCTTAATCTCCACGAAATGTTTTGACAATCCCAGTGCCTATATCCTTAACTTTCACTAAAATGATACGATGTACATACCACAATATCGTACACCAACTCTTGACCTGCGGCATAATTTTCAGTGACCCAAATGGCTAACAAATTTAATATTTTATTTTCCAAATGTGATGAAAAGCCATATGGAGCAAACCCAAAAGTCTCGACACGTATATGTTACACAATACACTTCAAGACTGCATTGCTCACAAGTAAAGAACACGAGGTGGAACTTATCGAGTTTGCACACACAACGTGTCAATTATGTACATTCAACAGCTGAAGAGCCGATTGTTTATTTTTACCTCACAAAAGTGAACCACAAAATAAAGCTGTGTAAAACTCAAAGGTAACTGTACTCTGCATATTAAGACGAATTATAACTTTTACGTATGCAAGCACATCAACATTACTAAATACTGTATACACAGCTGACAATGCCAAACAGGATTTATTTGCATTTATTCTAACCTTCAAAACCTTTTCAAAATTATCAAAGCTTAACCCAAATAGCCTCAAATTACTTTGAAATTAGTCATTACAATTTTTTTTTTTTAAATCGGAAAAACATTTAAATTCTCCAACTATACTTTTCTCCCACGAGCATAATGACGACACCGAAAAATCAGAGAACCTGTATAGAGAATAGCAGTCTCCTGTACACACATCAAATGACCACAAATACTGTTGAATTTTGCTACTTTAAACTCAAATTATGATGCAATTCAAGATTTCAAGCATGTTCCTTGCAACAAATTTGTACAAAACAAAGCTATACAGTACCGCAGTGTTACCATTATCACAAACTGTCATTATGTGCAAGACTTAAAATGACCTCCATAGGTTTTCACAACTTTATAAAAAGCCTCAAAATGAATGCATTCATCTTCTCATATATACAAGTAGTCCCACTCTTGGCCTTCAGACTCAATGTTATGCAAATCTGTTAGTCACATTAATTTGAAAATAGAAATGTCAATATCAAACTTTGAGGTATTTTAAACAACATTTTAAACAATACTTGCCAACAGTATTCAATTTTTTTTATTGTTATATGAAAACCATAATAATTTTATTTTAAAATTAACCAAACCTCTAAATCTGATTTATCCTGCAACCAAGCCCAAATGTACCAAAATGTTTTTGAAATAATCTGAATACTCTTTAATAGCTACAGTACATAAACAATCCGAGTCGGCAACAATATTACAAATTTTTTCCCTATTTTTGAATGCGCAACAACAATGCATCAAGTTAAAAACAAACTTATCAGCATACTTGCCTCTAAGGCACCACCTGGAACTTTCTTGATGCCAATCATGTCAAGTGGCAGGAGCAGGTCCAGTGACATGACAGCATCTACAACAATTTCAGCAAAGAAATCCTTCTGTTGGTGAATTAACTTGCTGTTGAGAGAGGTTCCAGCACACTTCATAAGAAGGGACCGAAGCTCGGCTGCATCCTCTTTGTTTATCTGCAGAAAACAATATTCAATTAAATGTTCACTCACCATAGTTTGAATTAGAACCCGATATAAAACTAGCATTTCACACACAATTATACTTAATGCATTGTATAAACTAACAGGGGGCAACACCATACAAATTTGACCATTTTCATCTAATTATCATTGAACGAGGCATTTTGTAACTTATACCTGTTGGTACTAACTTGATATTTAAAATAATTATACAATTACTACAGAAAGATTAAACAAAAATTGTACAAAATTTTACTAAAAAAAAAAAAGTTTTCAAATTGTTCCCACCAGCAGAATCAATGATTATACAGACTAATCACTTCAAACCAAACACTTACCTTAACAGCAATTTCATTTATCTTTTCTATAGCAAGAGTTGTAGCCCGCCTGAAAGCCCTGATAATAGCATGAGGGTGGACACCCTCTTCAATTAGGGTTTTACACTGTTCCAAAAACTGTCCAGCCAGTAATACGACTGTGGTGGTGCCATCCCCAACCTGTATAGACAAAAAAAAATTACATATCAATACATATCACAGAAGCAGTTAAGAGACAAGTCAGGGAAAGAACATTGCTGGTAAATGAAAAAATACAATTGGAATAGATGCATCAAGTACTTCATGACGGAATTGTGGTGCCTATCCTTAAGATTTTAAAGCATTACCTAGTGTGCTTTATAAAGGAGTGGTGGTTCTACCCTTATACTGTTCTGTACACTGGGTAGGCAATGCATCAAGATTTAGGCAATGCATCAAGATTAACAGGTGAAAAACAATGATGAAAATGGGGCAAAAAATTAAATGAATATACAGTGGCACCTCGAATAACGATCGCCTCAAATAGCGAACATTTTGGCTAACGACCGGCCCAATCGCCGACAATTCGTCTCGTATTGCAACCGCTCTCTTGAATAACGACACCACATGGTGGGGTCGCGTCGCTTCTTGCACATTCTCGGACACCTCCGACAATGCAAATAAATTATGTTGTTTTTGTTTAAAGATGCTAATGATAGTGGGATATAGAGGGGTGACTGCTGAGATGTTACAAAGCATTGACTTTTGTAGAATTTTTTTTTTTTTTTTTTTAAATACAACAAATGTCAAAGGTTCGTTCGGTGTTCTGCAGGTAGGCTGCTCCATGTTTCTTAAACAACAAAAAATAAAAATAAAAAAAACGGTTGAAACAATTTGAAAAACGTACAAAAGCCATAAAGGTTCGTTCAGTGTTTGTCACGTAGGCTGCTCCATTATTGAGACGTAAATGAAAATTACAAAAATGGAACACATTTGAAACAAAGAAAGATTACTATATTGGAGCAGCCTACCCGACACAAACGAACCTTTGTGGCATTTGTCCATTTTTCAAATTTTTCAACCATATTTTTTTATTTTTCGTTTTTTTTTTATTTAAGAAACATGGAGCAGCCTACCTGCCGAACACCGAACGAACTTTTTGCTATAAGACAAACGAAAAATAAAATATTGAACAAATCTTTAGAAAGAAAAATGTCAAAGGATTGTTCAGTGTATGTAAGGTAGGCTGCGCCATTATTTAAAACATCGAATATCACATTGATGTTTCTCGATAGTAGAACGGATTAATTTGATTTCCATTACTGTATTGTCATTGGGGACATTCATTTTGTATGACGTCCGTGTCATATGATGAACGGAACGATAACGGAACGATTTGGAACACTTAACTGGCCAGTCTTCCCATTATCAAAATTAAATCAGACAGCCAGAATTATATGCATGTTAAATCCTAATATTATAGCTCATCATGAAATCTACTCCAGAGCAAAAACTATGAGGCAAATCTGCACGAGATATTTCACATTTTTCGCCCCGACAGTTGGAAACAAATTAAAAACTGCACTCCCTGTGATAATCTATTCCTACCAATGTGACCTGCAAAATGTCTCCAATCACGTAATGTATGAGCACGTTCTCAGCCCTTCAAAACTGGCACATTGACAATAAATACTGCCATTACTTGGTATTTAAAAAAAACTGCCAAACAAGTCTCAAACCCTCACTTACACTTATTTAAACAAGCCAACCACTTTGATAGAATGGAAGGGATTATTACACCAATCTTGATAAATCACTAACAAAAAATGAAAGGGTTAAGGTGATGTGCAATTATGATCAATTATGGCACAATAGGGCATGAAGGAATGTATATCAAGGTTATCATTGTTCTATTTAATCTTAAACCACAATATCAGAAATTAACCCCCACCAAAAAAAATTACTTCAACTCTAAATATGAAGCTTCATTGCATTAACACACACACAGTTTTAAATTTCAAATAAATGCAAATGTATTTAAGATATCTCCGGAAGTCAAGCAAAACAGAAATACATTGGCTGACAAACCAATGTAGCTTTGGTTTGTAGCCAAACTTTGGCTACAGCTTTGACTTGGCTATCTCAGTAGCTACAAGGTATAGCCATTTACTATGTTTTACATTATCATTGATCCCAGACAGTAACACCAAGCCTTACCTCAGCATCTTGAGATTTTGCAATGTCTACTAAAATTTTAGCTGCAGGATGAACAATATCCAACTGCTTCATTATAGTAGCACCATCATTACTAATTGTTGCTTGTCCCTGAAAGGAAACAAGATATTAAAATAAAATTACTGTCAATTACAGTTGATGATGTTTATACAGCATTTAAAATACAACAGTTTAACATGAAACTATGAAGTGATACAGTTTTAATCCAAAAAATTATCCAATTGCCCTGCAGGGATACACTGAAAGCAAGATTGGAGAGGGACATGTATACAGATAACAGCAATTCCTTTGTAAATTTTTTAAAATACCTTCAAAATAAAAATGTGCTGGCAATTATACAAAATAACGCTAATTTCAAACTTTTATTATGAATAATGTACCGTTTATCTTGTAAATATCATTCTGTATATTAATGAGCATGTAATCACATAACCATGTACTCTACATATTTTAAACAAACAGAAATAAATCTGCCTAATAATATAAGCCAAAGACATGAACTTACAGTATTATTTCCAGTAGTCACAATACATGTCACATACCTTAGAATCGACAATGAGCTTATCCATACCACGTGGCCCCAGAGTAGTGCGAATGGCATCAACAACGGCTGCGCAAGCATTGATGTTCGAGATTAATTGTGGTTTACCCTGAGAGGAGTCCGTCCCCTCTTTCATCAAGATGATCTGCGGTTGCTGTAATGATAGATGATGGACGATTAATCAAGTAATGTACTGTATATTAGCAGAGGTCATTTTTGCTGTACAAATATTGCCAGAAACACTTTGCATATTAGTGGCATTATATAATGTGCAACTCCTGCACCTTCAGATATACCTCTGTACCATGTTCTCATGTATGCATATTATATGAATAAATCATTATTATTATCATTATCATCACCATCGAGAAAATCCGTAGGAGCCATGAGGACGATTCAACTCATGTGGTGGGTAGAGTTCCACGCACACGCCCCTTATGAATCCTCATAATGGCTCCTATGGATTTTCTCTGATGCAGTCACGTTAGTGTGATTATTCTGTATTATTACTCTTATTGTTATTACGAATCATCTAGCCTTTGGCTAAAGTCACATTTCTAAACTTTTCAAACAGGACTGACAAGTAAAGCAAAAGTAGTATTCATCCAACAATTTTTCAGACGTTTCTTTTCCCATTTTTACAAGTTTACCCCTTCAAATGATAAGGGATGACTGGTTTGCTACACTATGATTATCATCAGCTGCTATTGTTGCAATACCTATACTGTATTATGAAAATAGTATTGCTTAGCTAAGTATACAAGAACCTCATACTGTATTGCAGTCACATTGATTAAAACATGTAAAACATCATTTGCGACTTATCCAATAAACAATGCAAGTTAAAGAGGAACAAGGTAATTTTTTGAACACTACAAGCTAAACCCCTACTATACTTTGAGTTTAACTCAAAATTTAACGTGCAAATCCATTATGACTATATAGCATTTAGAAGGGATCAGGATAAGGATTTTGGATGGGACGGATTGAACTCGGACATGCACGACACGAGACTCGCTCTACTGTCCAGCCCAAGTAGTTGGCAATAGTGAGACCATGCAATGGGATCGAACTCGCATCCCTGCCTGGGACGTTCCGCCATGTGGGTTCGATCCCATTTATATAATGGGATTTCATGACTGGAGTCTTGTTCAAAATACAAAATTTTGTACTTTTTAATTGGGTTCGATGGAAAATTACAAAATAGCCATGTAAAGCAGCAAGGTTAATAAAAATTACCTCAAATAAAATATCACAAGAGTATTTAGTCTATTTACTAATTACTGTTATTAAAGAAAGCAAACATTTTCAGTTTACACCTGGCTTACTGGTTACAAACATTATGCATTATGTTTTGTAACAATTTTGTGGTAACAATTGTTTATGAAGTTTGAATGGAAACAATTCATAAATTTACCATTTTTTCTTGGTTACAAAAATGTGGCAAGTTGGGTTTTTCACACAATTTAGCAAATTCTTGTGGAACCCCAGACACGGGCTCATGAAACCCTAGACATGTGCTCGGGAACCCCAGTTGGGAATCATTAATAGATTAGGTTTGATTGACTTCACTAATACTATTGCTTATTTATACAGTATATAGTATACACAAGAATGTACAACGGGTTGTAAAAGTTTATACGTTGTTAAGTGACAATACAGTAGTGCTTAATTGGTACACTCTTGCAAAGCCAGACACGCATAGCATTTTAAGTAGCTCACTTACTCCGCTCATACGTCCTCACTCTCTCTTGCAACTTAATGGACAGAACATTACCCTACAGATAATCTTCCAGTACCAACTATAACTGTTATTCATTTTTGTTTGGAATTAGTAAAGAACATAGGAAACTGACGACCACTTGGCCTAGCGGGAACCGGTCGGCCGAGCAGACAGCACGCGGGACACGTGATCCTGTGGTCCCGGGTTCGATCCCGGGCGCCGGCGAGAAATAATGGGCATAGTTTCTTTCACCCTATGCCCCTGTTACCTAGCAGTAAAATACGTTAGTCAGCTGTCACGGGCAGTAATGGGGGTGGAGGCCTGGTCGAGGACCAGGCCGCAGGGACACTAAAGCCCCGAAATCATCTCAAGATCTCAAGAGATACAGTACTAGATAATTCTCAGGAGGAAGCATCGTCAGTATGACTACACAGCAATTTGAAGAAATATACTGACAGGGATCTCTGATACGAGGACAAAGAAGATTTTGTATGTGTAATTTTACCTGAACAAATTATTTTTTTTATTATTATTATTATTATTATTATTATTATTATTATGGGGTGGTGCCCAACCACCACCAAGAGAAACCACTTGGACCCTGGAGGATTAAGTGTCAACTCTGATGACATTATCAGTAAAATGTCAAGCAGTGATGCCATTACTCTGCCAACCAGCCAGTCAATCAAATAGTCAACCTACACACTAAACAATTCGGCTACCATGTCTGTGTTACCAGGCAACGTGTTTGAAATCATCCCCCCAATTTCTAAATCGGTATTTTATCCAGGTAACTTCTGAATCAGCTAAGGTATTTACCAGAAGAAAGCACTAAGCCATTATGACTATATAGCACTTGGAAGGGATAACGGGATAGAGAGTTCAGATATAGAAAAGAATCGTGATTGGATGGCAACAAAGAATGGTGCCTAACTACTTGGATGGTCGGGGATTAAACACTGACCGGCTAGAGGCGTGACCGCTGCTCTACCATCTAGCCCCTAGTAATTGACAACTTCTGAATCAAACTTATCCAAATCTGTCACAAGGCAAATTAACTTGTACAGTTGATGTTATGTGATTCACATTCATATGGAGAATACCTATGGAATATCTATTTAAACGACAGCTTACATGGGAATCTAACCCATAACCTATAGGGATCCATGGGTTTTTGCACATTTTAATGCAAAGTAATGTAATGCAAATTAACACAACACATTGCATTCTGAACTAAAGCAGCACAAAATAATGTTTTCTAGCCAATGTAACTTTAGTCAAAACTAAACATTTAGACAGTTGTACCAAGTTATAAAGACTACCGACACTAGGATCAAGCAAGCCTGTAAAACCCCTATTTATATTGACCACCTCGGCAAGTGGATGATGGAATGGATGAAAGGGAGTGAGGAGGAGAGGAAGGAGATGATGGCTTGTGGATGATTAATCATGGCAGGAAAATATTAGTATTGCATTACTAAGTTCATAATGTTATATTTCTTTGTTTATTTTTAAAAGATTCAATAATATTACAATTTTTATATATTTAACAAGTAAACAGGCTGAATTGTATTGGTACGAATCAGAAAACACAATAACCGATACGTGAATGCTTCCTGTCCATTTATATGAGACAAACTGTACAAGACAAAGTTGAAAATCTACCTTTTTTGATACAAATATTCAGCAATAGTGATCATGGTTTTAGCAGTAGTTCATTAGACAGGAATTCTTTATTCATACAATACTGTAGTATAGTTTAGTATTAAATACTAGGCAGGTAAAACAACAAGACTGCTACACACAACTTTATAAAATTTAGTGCTTTTTGGGGTGGTTCTAGCACTGTGTGAAATACTGAGTTGGCAACTGTTTGTTTCAGTTGCACTAGTAATATTTCATTGGATCACTATATAAGGTTTACTGCATACTTTGGCATAAGAATGTTTTTAAATGTTATAAACCTTTATCATAAACTATTCAGAGGTCACATTGCTGCTTTACGTGTTGAAAATGTAGCAAGTGAAGATACTCTTGGAAAATTGTGTGATGCCAATTTCTTTTTTATGCACCCTATACCCATCCCATGGGCAATAGTGGGAAGGGTTACCGAGGTACATAATCGGTTCAGAAGCAGACAACTTTTTCAATTTTGCATTTTGCACATTACTTAGCTCAGAATGACAGACAATACTCTGATCACTTTGGCTTACTGAAACTACAAAAGCAAAATGGTGTTAACATTGCAATGGGACCACACTAGTGCCACAGAGATAATTAATCACATAGCCATTACTATGAAAAAGAAAATGTGCCAGCATATAAAACATATATAGCAAAGTTTATGTTCTCAATGATGAATCAACAAGCCTGACCATTAAAACAACTTTGATAGTTTACTTGAAATGTGAATGTGATAAGGAAGGTAATCCCCATTTCATGTTCTTAGATCTAATTGAACTACCTGATCAGAAAGCATCTATTGCTAGGCATCTATTGAACTGTCTCAATTATCATTGGTTTGATGACATATATTTGAAACAGAACCTTGTAGCATTTGCTACTGATGGTGCAAGTGTCATGCTTGGTGTTAAATCTGGCATTGCAACAATTATCAAGGAACATTACCTTGATATAATAATCTGGCACTGTATTAACTAATCACAGATTAGAACTTGCAGTAGGTGATTCAGTGAGAAGTTCATGGATTTAATAATTTTCAAGCATCTATGGGCTAATTGTTCTCAGTTTACAGTAGATCACCTCTAAATCAAATGGAACTATCTGAATGTGCCTCTCAACTTTAACAATAGATTTGCAAAACAGGCCAAGTTCTGAGCACCAGGTGGGTAGCCAGTTCATTTTGAATAGTTTTATCAGTGCGAAAAATGATGAAGCACCGTTTTCATTTTGAAAAAGCAGTGAAAGATGAAACAAGATTTGGAAGTGATAGAAAAACCCATGAAGGTCTGTTGATAAAGCTAACTTCAGAACTTACTATTGCATTTAGTTCTAATGAATGACACGTTGCATGAACTTTATTTACTGTCAGTATCTACAGAAATGCACTACTTTGATTGTGTATAGACAAACTGGTTCAATGGAATATAAGGTCATTGCATAGACTAAGAGAAACCTGGCACTAGAACTTTAGAAGCTCAAATGGCAATTGAAAAAGAGGACGTTGGACGAATTACCATAACATAAGAACATAAGAACAAAGGTAACTGCAGAAGGCCTATTGGCCCATACGAGGCAGCTCCTATTCTATAACCACCCAATCCCACTCATATACTTGTCCAACCCGTGCTTGAAACAATCGAGGGACCCCACCTCCACAATGTTACGCGGCAATTGGTTCCACAAATCAACAACCCTGTTACTGAACCAGTATTTACCCAAGTCTTTCCTAAATCTAAACTTATCCAATTTATACCCATTGTTTCGTGTTCTGTCCTGTGTTGATACTTTTAATACCCTATTAATATCCCCCCGGTTATGTCCATTCATCCACTTGTAAACCTCTATCATGTCACCCCTAACTCTTCGCCTTTCCAGTGAATGCAACTTAAGCTTTGTTAATCTTTCTTCATATGAAAGATTTCTAATTTGGGGAATTAACTTAGTCATCCTACGCTGGACACGTTCAAGTGAATTTATATCCATTCTATAATATGGCGACCAAAACTGAACTGCATAATCTAAATGGGGCCTAACTAGAGCAAGATATAGCTTGAGAACCACACCAGGTGTCTTGTTACTAACGCTGCGATTAATAAATCCAAGTGTCCGATTTGCCTTATTACGAACATTTATGCATTGATCCTTTTGTTTTAAATTCTTACTAATCATAACTCCCAGATCCCTTTCGCAATCCGACTTCGCAATCACAACACCATCTAGCTCGTATCTTGTAACTCTATCATCATTACGATGATAACAAGCAACAAGAAAACTGTCTTCATTAATTATCAACAGTTTCTTACTAATCTTGAGAACAATTTGTAGTACCGTATGTTCACGACAACATCCATGAAAGTCTTTCAAACTTCTGAACCTCAAAGTATGTATTAATCACTGCTAAGTGAACTGTGTCCTTGAAAAAGACTATTAACCTGATGAAATACCACCTAATTACAGAGAAGCTGAAATATTATCTCTAAAAGAGGTTTAAGCTTTCTTCTTACTCTGCACTAAATGCCTTTTAGAGACTATGTAGAGAATCATGGACAGAAATTCCCTAAGATCATGGACATTAAATCCACCCCCCCAAGATTTACACCCATTACTGAGCTGTTTAACAAGTTATTCCTATTAGTACTGCTGAGTGAGAGAGGGAGATTCAGTCACATGAATCTAACAATAAGAAGCTCAAGAATTCTCATAAATCATTTATCAGCACTTATGTTTGTTAAACAAGCAGTCCCCTTGGCACAGCGATAAGACATTTACCCCGTCACTTCGCGAATACTTTGGCCTGGGTTCGTATCCTGACTGGGGAGGATTGCCTGGGCGCCAATCCTTAACTGTAGTCTGTTCACCCACTCTGTTCACGTGGTGGTTATACGATTTGGCGGGTCGTATTCCAGGGAACATAGAATTAAGGACCTGCCCGAAGCGCTATGCGTGCTAGTGGCTGTACAAGAATGTATGAAATTGTATATACAGTATAAATTTAAGAAAAAAAAACACATGGCCCTCCTCCAGTTCAGTGGAATCCCGAGCCATAGGCCATATCATGGCTACAGTACCACAGATTGGCAGATGACACCGGGACATGTTAATTCACACCCCAAAACCACCTCACACCTGACCCTTCTAACTTGAGGTTTTCTTGAGATGATTTAGAGGCTTAGCGTCCCCGCTCGAATACATTTCCCTTTGTGGAAACTATTGTAAAACTTCTCACCTGTTGTTTTTTTGTGAGCACTTTCGTGTTTTAACTTCTTAAATTGATCAACAGTTGCTTACTAGTCGTGTGATTTATGTTTTTTAACTAGTGTCTTGTGATTCTTCAATACACTATTGATTTTTTATTTTTGATAATTATATTTTATGATAATTAGCGAGTACAAACACGAAATACTTAATCGTGCGACATATATTGCCATTCTATATATGAATATATATATATATATATAGAAACAGAATAGGAAATGGGAGGCTTTTGTGAGGCCCAGGCGAGCCCTGGCGCCTATAACATTACCACTGCACCCCCTGATATTACCCACCCATAAAACACCTCATTTACCCTACCAAAGACAACAATACCATCTAACAACCAACATTTACCTCAAAACACCTTCATATACGCCAACACCCGCAACATGTGCCATCAACACCCCATGACTCATATAACAGGACCGGGGAGGTGGACAAGCCGCAACACTCACCCCCATAACCCCCACCACGCCCCTATTACACCCTAAACACCTCCCTGGAACCCTAATTGGGTGATATATAATAGAGACTCACCATGGTGGCTGGCTGGCAGGGAGGAGTGACTGGGAACAAGACACAGGACCGGACACAACTGTCTCTCTCCCACACACGCTGCTTCTCTGCGCTTCTCGAACCTCCTCTTCCCTCGCCTCCTTCCTATATACCATATACTCTTTCAATATTTGTAATCTCTATCATTTACTTGAGTGCATCCGGATACATATTTTTGTAATATAGTTGAAATTGAAATCAGTTTATTGAGGTAAAATACACACAAAGGATGAGGTAGCTCAAGCTATTCTCACCCCCGTACATCGTGTTAATAAATAAATAAATAAATAAATATGTTTATTCAGGTAAGGTACATACATACAAGTGATGTTACATTAATGGATTGATATATAGATAGAGCTAGTACATACAATGCCTAAAGCCACTATTACGCAATGCGTTTCGGGCAAGAAAAACATTAATATCTAGAACTTAATACTAATTGAGCATAAAGAATAAAAAGTGTTGAAAACAAATACAAATAAAGATAAAAAAAGGGGGAACATGACTGAAAAAGCAGCACAAATACAATAGGTTGACAAACAGTGTTGATTAAAAAAAAATATAATAATAATAAAATAAAATAACAGACATGGGTTGACAATAAAGGAGTGAGGTGGGTTACAGGGAATTTATTAGGTATTGTTTAGTTTTTATCTTAAACTGGTTGAGAGAGGTACAGTCTTTAACATGGTTGGGAAGGTCATTCCACATTCTGGGTCCCTTGATTTGTAGAGCATTTCTAGTTTGATTAATACATACATAGTATGTAATTAATACATTGATTAAAAACATACATTGATTAATACATACATAGACACACATCACAAGCAATAAACGTATTACCGAACATTCTGAGAGATAAACATATACATTTCCTATAATATAGTTGGTTATTTATATTATATATTATATTATATATCACTGGTCATGCGCCGTTTCATTATATAGGATCGTTCGCGCATGTCTTGGGGGGGGGGGGTGACTGGTCGATTAGAGCCACTGGTAGAAATAGCCCAATCCAATATGTGGGGGTAGGTAGAATACTGAGACTCATGATTAATAGAACAGGGATAAAAATTCACGTTGGGAACCGACTAAAAAAAGTCAGAGCAGTCTTAGGAAAATTGAGGAGATTCCGAAGCCTCAGTATACGAACATTCAGATACACCTATATAAGGCTCTAGTTCGGCCGCATCTAGAGTATTCTCCACTACCACTACATACTATAAAGAAAACTAACATGCAGAAACTGCAACGGGGGAGACATCTCCCGTCACGCAGGGTGCAGTCGCACCTCCACAGATCTCCAGTATCATCTATTAATACTGGTAATGGCTCAAAAAGGCCACCACTTACGGGCTATTCATGCCCGTGCCACCTTTTGAATGGCTTAATCTTTATCAATCATCAATCAGAAACTGCAAGCAGTGCAAAATAAGGCACCAAGGAGAGCAGCAAAACACCATCCACCATATGATCAGACAATCCAGGAGCTCCATGAGTTCCTGAATATACAGCCACTAAACATCAGACTGCAGCACCAAGCCATTAGGGTGTGGAACACCATCGTTATGTTAGAGGGCCCAATGTTAAAGGACCCAATGTTAAAGGACCCAATGTTAGAGGACCCAATGTTAGATTACTCCAAGATGAGACGCCCCGCTCCCACAGCTGGTGGCCCAAGAGCCTCAATTTACTAGATGCAAACCCCGCCCCACAGTACATAATTCCCAGATCAAATACTGACGAAATCCCTCCCCAAAAAAACAGTAAAATTCTGCATATATATAAATACATATATATGTATATATATATATAAATATAAATAAATAAATAATAATAATAATAATAAATAGCCTTAAACAGAACGCAACATGTATGGAAACAGCAGAGTGAGCATATATGAATGCTACACAGTATTCATCTATAGACATCCATATATGCTAAAACACGTGTGAAGAACCTCTCACACACTCACAGCTCCCTGACAAGAGGGAGCCAGCTTACCTTAGCTGCCAACACCCACACATCGGGTCAGCAAGGCGGACAGTCCGCCTGCTTTCATAACTCTCACTGTATTTCTCATTTCTAAACTTCCCTTCACCTATGCCTCTCCATCCCCTTAACTCCAAATAAAAGGGTTTCGGGCAGGTTTATTCAAGTAAAATGTTTATTTAGGTAAAAGTACATACATACAAGATGAGTTACAAACAGAATGTTGGATTTTTAGATAAAGCTAGTATATACTTGAATATGAAAACCTGAGAGACATTAGAAATATGTGTAGAATAATAAACCTCACCTTCAGTGAGTTAGGAAAACAGTATTTGTCAAATATTGATACTGTTCTTAAAAGATTCCCCCATTTTGCACCCACAAGATAACGTAAAATGCTAAGGGTTTGACAGATGTTAATTCTTTTTGTTTGAGAAGCTGTTCACTTGAGACAGTTAAGCAAGTTCCAACTGTGTCTCAGAACAAGTGACAGGATGAACAACCCAGCGGGGTTTCTTCCTATTGGGAAGTGATTCCTTCATTGATTCCTTGATTGACAAAGTTGATTCTTAATGAAATCTAACAATAAACTCGTTATATAAACGAGTATTAAACGTTAGCTACAGATGAGTTGGTTTAAGATAAGGAAGTCTTAGCTTGCATCTTCGTTAGGCATCATCCCCATTCCCAATAATTAAAAATTTGAAAAAGAAAGAAAAAGAAAACATTATATTACTAACGTTTCGAATAATCAATCCCAGCGTTTTATTTGCCTTATTTTGATAATTTATGCATTGATTTTTTTATTTAAATTCTAATCGTAATCCCTTTCGCAATCTTAACACCTTCGAGCTCGTATCTCATAACTCTATCATCATTACCTAGCCTTCAAACCTTACATTTATCTTATATATCCTCAACAGTAGATAAAAATAATAATCGCAGAACTCCAGTTACCTACTTATGCCATCTGTCGGCAAAAGAGAACACTATTAACTGGCTGGTCAATAGTGGCCATAAGGTACAGCTTACGCCATCTGTTGACATCAAATTACACTTATAACAAATTACCCCACAAAATACCACTAACGCCATCTCTTTTTTTTCCAACGCACTACAAATAGCCAAACAGCAACCCATAAGGCGGGTTGTTGTGCTCGGGTAGGAGGTTCCTAGCTCCGCCCACAGTGGGTATGGGGTGCATAACAAATGGCATATCATTGGTAGAAATTCTTTGTTGACATTCACACAACAGCCAATCACAGGAAGGGATCAGCTAAAGGCTCCATCCACTTAGTAAATCATCTTTATTCACCACAACATCATTGCTTATGACATTCTGCTTCAACTTTAATCTACCTAAAAAGTGAAGGGTTAAGTATTTAAAAGTATTAATAAAGTGATAATTAAATACTGCAGGATGTAACGAGTGTTACAGAAACATGGGCTGGCTACCTAGCTTGTAACGTCATCAGTGGGGGTTGCCTCACGCAAATAACTTCGATGATACAAAGCTCCGTTCTCTTATTGGACTCGATTATTCAGTTAGATGGGAATTTCTGTCTTGTACAAAACGAAGATATCGTGTTTGAAATAAAGATATTATTGTGCAAAAAGACGTATTTCTTAGTTTGCATTTAATTATAGAAAGAGTGTTGCCATTCCCAGCAACAGCCAATCACAGGAAGGTATTTGCTAAAAGTTCGTCTCCTTGTTGACGTCCTCGGGAGCGACACACAGATCTAGCTGATGGCTTGCTGTTTCATCTCTTGTATATAAAAAATATGAATATTTCTGTTACTATGATTATTAAAAGTATAAGATATAGGAGTTGTTACACAAAATGGGTAAATTTTGCCATTAAAAAGAGCTCATAGTGGATTCTGTAATAGAGTTTTATGGAAAGCGTTGTTAGTTTAGTTCATTTATTATGCACCCCATACCCATCTTGTGGGCGGTAGTGGAAAGGGTTACAGAGGCACATAATGGGCTCAGGGACTGAACCCCACAATTCATTTAGCTAAGCAAGTTACAATCTTGATGAATTAGTTACAAAATTCAGTATAAGTCGTCACATTATCAATGGGTTCGAGATCGATCACAAGTACAGTTTCTAAATTAAGCAACTGACATATGTGGAGAGCTAGTGTCACAATTGACATGTTTATCCTGCATCCCCCCCCCCCCATCCAGTGGGCAGCGGTGGATAGGTTACAATCACTTAGTTACTACCTACGAATGGAAAGCGTGTTATACAATTTTTCTAAATATATGATATGGGTGTTGACTTCTCAATTTGTGTACCTAATACTTGAAGGCTTTTCTCCAGTTCCTTGTAGATTTTATACCAGCAATCATCTTAGTTCAGCACACCAACCTTGCTTAATTTTAATCTCACTTTAATCTACCCAAAAAGTGAAGTATTAATGATTTGAAAAGTGTAATAAAGTGACAATTAAATACTTAAGGATATAACAGGTCCTGGCTACCTAACTTGTGACGTCAACAGTGGGGGTTGCCTCGACACTAATAATATTGGTGATACGATGCTTCGACCTCTTAATGCACTAAATGATCCAGATAGATGGAAATTTCTGTCAGGTACAAAACAGAAATTGTTTATCTTTTGTACAACAACAAGGTTGTTGTGCAAAAGAACGTATTTCTTAATTAACATTATATTCATAAACGAGTGTTGGCATCCCCAGCAACAGCCAATCACAGGAAGGTATTTCTTCTGGGAGCTCCGCCACCTTATGGACGTTACTCGGAGCGTTCAGCACATTGATCTAGCTCATAACTTTCTGTTTCATCTCTTGTCCTCATGTTGGCCTCCGAATGCATGATGTTGCTGATGAGTTAGCCAAAGAATCGGCCTTTAAAGGAGACGTTGAGTGTAACCTTGGGTTGTCAATGAGCAGTCTGAGAGCAATAGTACACCAAGAACTTCAACAAAATCTTGTAAATCTGAGGTAAATTGAAATCGACACCAGTAATTATCATCATACTATCTTGCATGAGGAACCACACATGAACAAATCCACAAGGGACGTGGATTTGTGATTTCTCTGTGTAACGAGCCACACATTTATGGTTCATTCAATAAAATCAGCAGACTTCTAAATTTTACTACT